AAGGGGTGCTAGGGTCGAAAATCACCAAGTTTTCTTCCATCCTTTCTTCAAAAACCGAATCAACATCCAAAGGTGAGTTTCATACCCCCTTATTTTCGGTTTTTATAAGTTTTTGTGGGGGAGAATACAAGCAAAGGTGTAGATCCATCATTATGTGTATGTTGTGGTTGATTTCTATGCTTATATGTATGTTTTGTATGATTTTGATGCTAGATCTAGTGATGAAATACTAAAAACCGAGATATATATTTTATTCTAGCATAAAATATACTATTACATGCAAAGTATACTAAGAAAAATAGCCAAATGGCTTGACAACACTTATTTTGGGCTAAAAACTCATTTTTTTGACATAAAATGTTAAAAATACAAAGTTGAAGGGTCTAAAATGAAATATTTCGAAATCTGATGGGTGAGATGAGTCAAAACAGTTTACATAATGCATTTTCTGAAAATGTACTATTTGGAGGGTTAAAAACATAAATTCCAAGCTTATTGGGCTAAATATGACATTTTCGGCCCAATGAGGCCCAATATGCGAAATTTTCTAATTTGGAGGACCAAAACTGCATTTTTCTGTAAAACAGTGGACTATAAGTGTTCCATGTACTTTTCAAAGGTTTAAAATGCTTTTCAAATTTAAAAAGGACCAAAGTTGCAAAAATTTTCCAAATTGGGCCAAAAATGTAAAAATTGCGAAAAAGAGGGGTTATAACCGAGAAAACTGCAATTTCAAGGACTTAAGCTGTTTTCTATGAAAAATATGCTGGAAAATACTTATTTCAATAATTTTTGGTGTTAAAATGTCAAGAAAATTGATTTAAGGACCAAACCGGAAAGTTTTTAAATAAAGGGGTGAAAAGGGTAAATTTTACAAATAAGGAGGGACTGAAAACAGAAAATTCTCAAGGCTAGTTCAATACATGCAATTTGACCAAATGATGGTACCACGCCTATCGACGAAATACAATACATTACAATACCAAAAGTCGTTGTCAAACGAATTGGTTCGGTCTCGAACCAATAACAATCCGAAACTACTAACACGACGACACTATGACATTACGACATTACGATTCATAACTAATAACGATTGGGAAGTCACTATACATGCGAGTGTGCACAGACGTCTACGCACCATCTTTGGGCCCCAAAAGTGTAAAATCTTGTTTGTTGAGCCTAGCTAGCCCAATGACCTGATCTTAAGGCCCGAAGACCTCTCTCTCTTACGAAGTGTTGGGTTTTACCGATCCGACATAACGTAAAAGGACTTTCAATGGCAAACATGCTGCTGGTCCCCAAGGGTCCTTCAGTGCTGCTAGTAAAGTCTGTAACTCACGATTGCGGGTTGGGCTTCGGGCCCTTCGCAATTGCAATGGTCTTGAACGACGCGGGGAAATACCGAGGGTTTCGCACCTTCTCTTCTTCCCTCCGGTCGTGGGACTACACAAGTCCGGGAGGATTGAGTGGTGTGAAGAATTACGAGTGACGCCTAAGGGATCGCTTGTAAGGTTGTCGATTGGACGTTTTCATTAACGCACGTCACAACACTTCACCACCCACTGTATTCTCAATGCCTCCGGAGCTCAACGGTTTCCTCTAACGCAACGAAACAACGGTACACAAACTAAGTAAAGCAAAGTGATAGGAAAACGTCGGGTTTTCCTAGGGTTTTCAACAATTACAATTATGAATTACCGGTCGAATTTCACAACTCTTACGCTTACATCTATAGAATTCAAACAAGCATACTCATGGATCATCACATATTTTTACACTATTCTATTTTTAGAAAATATCGGATTTTCTGATGGTTTTCAAACAATACATTGGATTTCAAACACTACTTATGAACTCACCAACATTTCATATGTTGACGTTTTCAAAATACTTGTATTCTCAGGTAACAGATAAGGTGAAGGATGATTTGTACTCTATGACGTTTTGCTGTGGTTTAAGTAGTATCAAACAGTTATTTTTTTTGAGAATGTAATGTTTTGAACAATGTAATGAATGTAACGTTACCAGTTGTATCATTCCAAATGTTGGTGATGTATAATGTTATGTTTCATGTATATGCATTGTGATGGTATTCAATGAGTCACGATAGCCCTCGGACGTTTCCGCCGTCTGGTTCGGGGGTGTGACACTATCTTCATTGACCCCATCTTCACTAATCCCATCTTCACTAATCCCTTCTTCAACATCCCCTTCTTTAACAGTTGCTTTATTTGCTGCATTGTTAAAAACAAAAATAATAATTATTATACAAATGTAGATGAATGAATAATCAAAATAAAAACGAACCTTCTTTGAGCAATGGACATCGCCTCTTGTTGTGTCCTTCTTGATGACAATTACTACATCTTGAGATGGACATCCCTGTCTTGTTAATTTTATGCTTTCCTTCATTTTCTGTAGGACATTTCATTCTGTTTACTTTGGGCCTTCCTGGCATTCTCCTACGCCGAGGTGGTAATATGGGATCAAATAGAACATCAGGCCACATGTTAGCTCCATTTATTGGTTTGACTGGATACCTATAGCAACTTCCAAACATGCTTGTTTTAAACCATACGACTACATAGTCCTCTGCATTTCCATTCAGGTATAATGTAGCAGCAATGGCATGCACACAAGGGATACCACTGAGTTGCCAGGCTCTGCAACCACAAGTTTTGCTTTCAAGGTGAACAACATAAACTTCATGGGCTAATTTCACTTCATATTCTTCCTCGCCACTTGGAATAACATCCAAGTACCTGAAATCATATTAAGAAGGTAAGTTATTTCATATTAAGTTATTTCTCACTTACAATTAAATAATATACCTTTGTTCTTCTTTCATCTTCTCAATCCTCTTTCTAATAGAGGGGCAGATTTCCATGTCCCACTTATGCCCCTTAATCTTTTGATTGTACATCCTCTCCATCACGTACAATCTGATTTCTTCCAGCATTGTTATTATTGGTTTCTTCCGGGCCTCTACAATTGCTGCATTGAAAGATTCAGATATACCATTTTCCACCGCATCACAACAAGTCTGAGGTTCAAAGAATGCTCTACACCATGTATTTGGGTCTCTTTCTATCAGGTGCTCATAAGCTTCTGTGGACATTGTACGAATTTCCCTCATGTATGATCGGAAATTGGAATCGGTTGTAGCCTTTGCAGCACTCCAAAATAACCTCCTAAACTCAACACCCGTGAACCCCTTCTTCTTAAAGTTGGCATAGATGTGTCGGGCACAATTCCTATGCTCACATGATGGTGCCCTTTCCTTAACAGCCTCCATTAAACCCTACAAGGTGATAACAAATTTCAGTTTTAAAGTACATAATAACACATAATACAGTAAGTAAAATGTAAACTATAACACACCTTTTGTTGGTCTGAAATAATTGTAAGACCCCTACCATCTCCCATCTCAATGTCCTCAAGTAGAAGATCAATGAACCACATCCAAGTTTCCTTGTTTTCAACTGGCACAACAGCCCATGCTAGAGGATACATTTGGTTGTTTGCGTCCCTACCAACGGCTGTTAACAACTCACCTCTGCAAATACCCTTCAAAAAACAGCCATCAACACCGATAACCCTTCTATATCCTTCAATCCAGCCATCCTTGATAGACTTCAGGCAAATATACATCCTTTTGAAGTAGTGTGTAGCATCAGGCATATGATTTGTCTCGATCAAGACTGTTGACCCAGGATTAACCCTCAATAACTCAACACCATAATTCCACAGTTTCTCATAATGGCTTACCAAATTGCCTGAAATCTCATCTAGTGCAAAGTACTTGGCATTTCTACATTGCCCAAGACTTACCTTGAGACCATAGTCTTTCCTAACCACTTCTGCCATTTTCCTATAGCTAAACTTAGGCCTTTCCAAAATGTCAGGTATTAACATTTTTCCAATCCACTTATACGTAACAAGACAACCCAATTTTTGTTGTCTAGCACAATTATGTTTATCAATTAGTGACTTGATCTGGAATGAATTTTCCTTGTTCATGGGACTAGCCCATAGTCTAAAAGGGCAAGATGGCTTCCCTTTTTCATTTTTACTGCACCTTACTAACAATGCTTTTGCCTCATTTTTTTCATACCACAATGAATAACCCTTAGACACAGCATAATTTGTTAACATATGTTTCAGTTCATCTCGATCAGAGAATTTCATACCTAACTCAGGCATCATAGTGTCCCATTTTTGGTTTGGATCGTGAATAGGATGTTTTTTTACCTTACCACCAGCTTCTTCCTCTATGCCTCTTTGTGGAATAAGGTTCTTCTGTGACAAAAAAGGATCAACAACTTCAGGCCATTGAATGTCCTCATCATCAGCTTCATGGTCCACCGATAGATCATCCGATAATACCGAGTCCACATCATCTTCATATGTTTCAGTACCACTATCCCATTCTTCAGCTTTTTCTTCTTCAATCCAATCTAGTAAGGGTTCATGATGGTCATCAATGTAGATACTTATTTGATTATCATCATCATCAAACCCAGCATCAAGGAACCTAACATAATCATCTTCATCCCTGAGCTCCCTTAACCCATCTACGAGGGACCGATTTTTAAGACAGTAATACATATCCCGACATCTATTGTTGATCAATTTTTGGAGATAGGTCTTGAACTTCTTGAAATCCATGTTACGTACATCTAGCCCCATAACAGGTACTTTATCAGGATGAAAGTAAACCAAGGGATTAGGAGAAAAAACACCTTGATGGTAGACATCAATGTTGAGTGAGTCACGAGACACGCTTGCTGCACGAGACATCAATGTTGAGTGAGTCACGAGACACGCTTGCTGCTGAGAACCCTTGCTGCACAATCGACTAACTTTCCTTCACCTTCTGTAAAAATCAATTTCACTGTCACGAGTTCACCGTTATGTAAGAACCCTAGATATCGATTTCACCCTTCACTGAGAACCCTTGATGGTGAATCGATATCCTTGTGGCACTTATGTTTGATGTAATGTGTTTTAATAATCCATGTCAGATTATCACCGGTAAACAAAGAATCGTAATCCACAGATGCCGGTCACCATTAAAAAACCTTATTTTTATTCGTAACTTTATTTGGATTTATAATAAAAAACATTATTTCGTTGGTTTTTTGTGAACAACAAAAACGTAATTGGGGTAATATGAACGTTTTTGAAACTTAATTGGTCTTTTAAGGCATTTTCCCTAAATCATATGATCAGTTGTCATCACAAGGTGCGGGTCACGATGAGATAGACTTCGAGTTCTTAGGCAACTCCACTAGAAACCCTTACACAATCCACACCAACGTGTATTCACAAGGGAAAGGAAACAAAGAACAGCAGTTCCACCTTTGGTTTGACCCTACTGCAGCCTTCCACACCTACACCATCGTATGGAACAGTCTAAGAATTATGTAAGTCAGGCATCCAACGTAAACATTAATTGGTTCATGTTTTTCTAGCTACTGTTCCTAAAGCTCTTAATTTGTCTCTGCATGCGCAGTTTCTTGATAGATAACATACCAGTAAGGGTGTTCAATAACAATGATGCTGCTGGAGTGCCATTTCCCAAGAGCCAACCCATGAGGGTGTATGGCAGCCTGTGGAACGCGGATGACTGGGCAACCCAAGGTGGGCGTGTGAAGACTGACTGGGCTAATGCGCCTTTCACTGCGTCATACAGGAAATTCAATGCCAATGCCAAAAAAGTTGATCCCAATTCAGTATCTACAAGCTCAATAAATGATAACCAGTCATGGAGTACCCAAGGACTTGATGCAGCAGGCAGAAACAGGATTCGATGGGTGCAAACAAAACACATGATCTACAACTACTGCAATGATCACAAACGGTTTCCCAATGGTCTTTCCCAGGAATGCAAGCGCTCTAGATTCCTCTAATTAACCCTACTTGCGAGCTTCATTATATATCAACATATATTTTGTTATTTTAATTGTTTTTTGATTGATTTCTGATCTTGATGATTGGTTATTCTTTGATTTATATATTGTAGTCGTTCAAATTGCGATTATAAATAAATACACAAGTATAATTAAGATTCCATTTGCACTTTAAGAACACATTCTATATACGGCCAGCTACAATATAATTCACAATACATTTTTCTTTCGTTTATAGTTATTAGTTCATTGGCTCAAAAAATCTTTAAATTATTAGCAGGGCCGGTTCAGACGGTGGGCAACCTTGCAACCGCCCAGGACCCACGTCTTCAGGGGCCCCAATATGTTTGGGCTATGTAGTGTATATATATAAAAAATTATTACCTAAATTATTTTTAGGGCTAAAGTTGGTTCAAACTCAAACTAACTCAAAAGATAAACAATTTGACTTGCTTGTTATTGCTAATTGAAAGCGTTTATAATGAAGAATAAATGATATTTTTTTTTAATCTTTATTATATTTTGTCTTTAAGATGTCATTTTTTTTTTCTTTTTGTTCCGAGCCCATATATGTTTGAACCAACCCTGATTATTAGTACACCCATTCGAAATTCTAAAACCTTTTTTTTCCTATGGTACTACTAACAAAAATTATTATATGTGGAGCAAACTACAAAAATGGATCTTATGGTTTGTCATTTTCTTTAGATTGTGTCTAATTTTGCAAAAAAAAAGCAACTAATCTTGTAAACTTAACAATTAATCTAAGGTAACTAAAATACATTAAACTCCTTATAATTTTATACAATGTATGAACTCTACAAAAGTTAATGGAATATTTATTTTAAACTTATAAAAGTTTCATTATATTCATTGAAGAGTTGATTAATAGCTATTGAACTAGCCATTGTACTTCGGTGGTGGTAGAAGCTACTGCTCGAAACTCAGCTTCAGTTGAGGACCGAGCTAGAGTTGGCTGCCGTTTAGAACTCCAGGCAATAGGATTAGTGCCCAAGTAGACGATGTAACCTGTTGTACTACGATATGTGTCCTTGTCGCCGGCCCAATCGGCGTCGGTAAAAGCATGGAGTTGTAGAGGTGAGTTGCGACGTAAAAGTAATCCGTGTGACATTGTTCCATGCAAGTAACGTAGTAGCCTTTTTAACGTTGACCAGTGAACATCAGTGGGTCGGTGCATAAATTGAGATAGTTTGTTAACTGTAAACGCGACATCCGGACGAGTGAGTGATAAATATTGCAATGCTCCCACAACTGAACGATACTCAGTAGGATTTGGAAGTGGAGTGCCGTCATCGATAGTAAGTTGCTTTGAGCTTGACATTGGGGTGATACTTGGCTTACAATCACTCATGTTAGTCTTATGTAAAAGGTCAAGAATGTATTTGGTTTGAGATAGAAAAAGACCCGTGGGATGAGGGATAACCTCAACTCCAAGAAAATATGAAAGAGATCCAAGATCTTTTAGAGAAAAACGAGAGGATAAGGAAGAAATAAAGGAGGAAACGTGAGAAGAGTTTGAGCCGGTGAGTATAATATCATCGACATAGACTAAAACATAGACGGAGGAAGTGGGAGATTTGTGAACAAACAAGGAGGAATCAGAGACTGTTGGTTTGAAGTGAGAAGATAATAGGAAGGATTTAAGTTCGTTATACCAAGCACGTGAGGCTTGACGGAGTCCGTAGATTGCTTTGTTCAATTTACAGACATGAGTTGGAAGAGAAGGGTCGACGAAACCGGGAGGCTGAGACATGTAGACAGATTCGGTTAAGTGACCTTGTAAGAAAGCATTATTTACGTCAAGTTGACGAAGAGGCCAATTGTTGGAAGTGGCTAATGAAAGGATGAGACGGAGAGTTGCAGGTTTGATGACGGGACTAAAAGTCTCAACATAATCTAGTCCGGGTCTTTGATGAAATCCCTTAGCTACTAAGCGAGCCTTGAGACGATCGATAGTGCCGTCGGGTTTATATTTAGTTCTATAAACCCATTTACATCCAACAACGTTGGGGGCAGAATCACGAGGAACTAGCGTCCATGTGTTGTTTCGAAGCAAGGCGTCATGTTCGTTCTGCATGGCAGTGCGCCATGCAGGTTGCTTTAATGCTTGGGTAATAGTTGTGGGTTCTGGAAAGGAGATGGGGGTGGTATGATATAGTACCATATTTTCGTTGTGATATTTAGGATTTGGTTTAGGATTCCTTCGAGTGGAATAATTGGGAGGAGGAGGTGGGGTGGGTGGGGGTGATGATGAAGGTGTTTGAGTGGGTGGGGGTGATGTATTATTTGTGTGGTTTGGATCGATAGGAGTTGTATTAGATGGAGATGGATTTGGAATAAAATTAAGAGTGAGTAATGAATCGGGTTCAGGGGTAACCGAGGGGGTAGTATTGGTGAGTTTGGAGTAAGGAAAATTAGTTTCAACAAAGTATACATGACGTGATGTATATAGTTTATTTGTTGTGGGTTCGAGTAAATGATAGGCGCTCTGTGATGAAGAGTAGCCAACAAAAATGCATGGTTTAGATTTTGGCTCAAGTTTATGTTTTGTGTATGGTCTTAACCAAGGATAAGCAAGGCAACCGAAGCTGCGGAGTTTAGTATAGTTCGGAGATTTTTTGAAGAGTTTGGAAAAAGGAGATTGATTGTCGAGAGTTTGTGTAGGCAAACGATTTATTAAATATGTGGCAGTAGTAGCAGCGAAAGTCCAGAAAGAGAGAGGTAATTTCGCATGGGATAGAAGTGAAAGGGCTGTTTCGACAATATGCCTATGTCTTCGTTCAGCATACCCGTTATGTTCGGGAGTATGAGGAGGAGATGTCATGTGAGTAATGCCACATGAAGAAAAATGAGAAGCTAGTTTAATATATTCTCCTCCATTGTCGGAGAAAAATTGTTTGATCTTGATTTGAAAGAAGTTTTCAACAAGGTTTTGAAAGTGGATGAAAGTAGATAATGAATCGGACTTATGTTTGAGAGGATAAAGCCATGTATATTTTGTGTAGTGGTCAACAAATATTATGTAATACTTATAGCCATCGATAGATTGAACTGGTGAAGTCCATACATCAGAAAAGATAAGTTCAAGTGGACAAGAAGAAGTAAGAGATGTATTATGAAAAGGTAGTTTGTGACTTTTATTGATGCAACAAGCATTACAATCATTATTCAATGAAGAAACTGCAGGAAAAGTAGAAGCTAAATGTTTTAAAACTCTAGAATGCGGATGTCCAAGCCGGTGGTGCCAAGGTATGGACGTGTTGGAAAGAAAAGCGAGATGTGGAGAATTGGAACGCAGCTCATAGATTCCTCTACTGGCTAGTCCCTGGAGAAGGATCCGGTTGGTGTGGAAATCCTTGATAAAAAAATAGAAAGAGTGAAATTGAATTAGTATAGGGTTGTCAATACATAATTGAGAGATAGAGATTATATTTTTGGAGATAGAAGGGACGCATAGGACGTTTGTGAGTTTAAAAGCTGTGGCAGAAAATTTAAGAGTTAAAGAGCCAACATGAGTAATTAAAAGAGACGAACCATCCCCAATGACGAGCTCATCAGTACCATCGTATGGAGAGTGGAGTGACAGGGCATTGAGATCACTTGTAATGTGGTGGGAAGCTCCACTGTCAAATAACCAAGTTGTGTTTGTGTTGTTGGTGGTATTCATTGCGTGAGCTTGAGGGAGGTTGTTGTTGTTGTATGTGGTTCGAGGTAATGGTGGCAGGTTTACCTGAGGATACTTGTTCTTGAATTGATAGCATGAAGTCAAGGAGTGACCTTTGTTGAAGCAGAACTGACACTTGCCCAAAAACTGTCGAGGTGAGTTCTGGTTGGTGGAGTTTTGATAGTTTTGTGGTGTTTGTAAGATGGCATTGGTAGAAGGGTTTCTGTTGGTGTTATTCCAGGGTCGATATGGTGGTTTCTTGTTAGCAACGAAGGCTGTGGTTGGATGGTGAATGACTGACGGCATGGGAGAATTTTGAAGTAGTGAAAGTTCATGATTGATTAATTTTTCGTGTAGCTCATTAAAGGAAATTGGGGTATCACGTGCATGAATTGAGTCAATAACAGATTTATAAGCTGTAGTGTCTAGACCTGTTAAGATTGCGTCGGTGACGTCCTCGGAATCCATCTTCTTACCGAGAATGCTCAATTCATCGACTAAGGTTTTGATGGCTTGCATGTAATCGGTGATGGATTGATCAGCCGTCTTGGTGGTGGTTTTGAGTCGATGCTGTAGTTGCTTTATGTGACCTCTGGAGGGATTTGCATAAGTGTTGGATAGAGTTTTCCAAGCGTCATAGGATGTGGCAGAACTGGAGATAAGTGGAACCATCGTTGGTGAGAGAGTTCCAACCAAAGCACCAAAAAGTAGACGGTCTTGGCGAAACCAGGCAGCGTAGTCTTTGTGTGGTTTGGAGACCCCATCGGTTACAGTAGGTGATGGTGGAAGATGAGTACCATCAATGTATTTATAAAGATCGAGGCCATAAAGGAGAGCCTCAATTTGAGTCTTCCAGCTTATGTAATTCGTAGATTGAAGTTTTAGTGAGGAGGGGAATTGGACGAGAGTGAGAGATGGTGTTGAGAGGGGAAGCGAATTAACCACAGATGTAGAAAGAGCTGGTTCGGAGGCCATAGAAGGAGCTGGTTCAAAGACTATGAGGGCGGCGGTAGGATTAATTTAGGGGAGAGGATGTATCCTGCTCTGATACCATATAAGAGATTGGTATTCAGTGAAAAACTTTTCATTGTCATTAATTGAAAAACTATCGGTACATATACATGATTAAGATCCGATAAACTTGGATCTGTTACGTCAAATAAGGAAGACTAAAAGACTACTTCAAATATGCAAATACAACACATGTAAATAATGTATATAATTAAATATCGGTTGATATTATATAATAATAACTATGGTTTAATAATAATTTTATACAATGTATGAACTCTACAAAAGTTAATGGAATATTTAT